GGGGGGGGGGGTGATAGCAAGGGCCGTAAGATATGATCAAAATATATCAGATTGCAATGAGTGTTATTCCAAATATTTTTTATGAATTTTCAATCTTTATTTATTTTTTCAATAATTCACTGTCCAAGGATAGACAACTGCAATAGTCCGCAAGGACTAGCTTGAGTTGCAATTGTCTCCGATAGCAGTTGATGAAAATCTACAAGAGATAAGCTTTGTGCAGAACTGCAAGGAAGCAAAAGGTGTCGCAGTCTGCAAGGACTTGTCTTGAACGACTAACTTCCTTGGAGAAAAGAATGAAAATGCAACAATGCAGAGTTCAGAAGTGTGCAGTGCAATAGTTATACGTCTGATTAATAGTAACTCCATCTCATTTCATTGAAGTTGTCTATCACACGTCACCAACAGCAATTCGAGGCAAAGCAATAATGAAAACAGGTAATGCAGTCCTCACACTTCAGGAGCGACTCATTACATCAAATGTGCTTCCTCAAGACAACATATGCACGATTAAACGTAATGCAAGACAAGAATACACGATTGGCGCAAGTCGGTTATCTTCTTGGAAACAGTACGCATGTAATTCTTGTGCAATTAAACGATGTGCGCTGGTGAGTGGTGGTAAACGAGTTTTAGTGAATCGGTGAGTTATGGAAATGAGTAAGTCAGGGTATAGCACGCGAATAGAAAACATTAGTGTTCAGACTAGATTCAGAAATATTATACAGATCAAAGCGAGAGTGAGTAAAAAGGAATAGGATGCGTGGTAGTTGGAATGAATAAGCTAAGGGATGAGAATGGGTGGACGGAGACAAAGGATAGGATGGGGGGTAAAAGAGGTATGAGTGAGGATGGGGAGGGGAGCCTGGTAAGTAGGCGAAGGTGGGAATGTGGATTGAGCTCAATGAAAATAATCACCGATGTGACTGCACGAAAAGAACATTCACACTAATAACAATAAACTTACGATAATTGCAATATTAATCAACTACTATGCGAAATCATACAAAATGGTACTGTAATTAGTACGTAAAATGAATGAAACGGTGACTGGTCTGTTGCAGAACAGACTCGGGCTTGCAGAGGAATGCATGATGCAAGTGGGTTCGGGTCAGCTTCCCTTATCTTACAGCCTAAAAACAACCTTCGAGGTTGTAATTGATATATACTTCCAATAAATTCCCTGAGGAAAAGTGATGACGGACCCAACCGTAGAAGGGGATCATCGAAGAGCTCATACGCAGAACGCAAATTGGGCATCCCATCATCTTAGGGAATAACAGCGATAATCTCACGTATAGTCGTAAAAGAAGAGTGTGGCACGGCGCTTAGATCGACTCTAGCGAAAAGTGTGCAGCTTGGCACATACAGTACAACTTAACATTTATTAACTTAACACTAATTACATGTCCATACCCAGCTGGGGGTCGTCACCAAGGACCATGTAATAGTGATGAGGTGAGGTTCGTGATTAAGGTTGATTAATGAAGAAAATGTTTCGAAAATCAGGTCGGCATACTAACGATTATCGTATGAAGGGAAAGAAATGGAAAATCGTTAGGATAACCAAGGTAATTTCACATTTAGTGATCACTTATGAAAGCGAAAATCACGAAAAGTATGAAATCGTAGTAGCTGTATAATATGATTAATATCTAACACTGAGAGATAACTGAATTAAAATATAAATGCAATAGCTTGAGTGTATTTTTTGGTCGAGTCAGATGGCTATAAGTAGGTACCTTCTACCTGAGTAAGGTCAAGTGAGTTCATTATCCGAACATTCGCTAAAAATAAACAATACTAGTACATTAAAATTAAATAATATTGTGAAAAGACAAAAGTACGCAATAATCTAGAATCTAAATAATCAAATTACCAATAAATGAAACGAAGGATTTACCATACATGAATAATTAAAGAAAAAATATATCTATAAAGAAGACAAATAATTATGGTGAAATATACTTCAGAAAATGCACAAATATCCTATAATAATACATAAAATTCAACGTGATTTAATTCGATGAATTATGTTGTTATTATTACCGCTCTCAGATATATATGCAAATTCACTCTATCGTAAATAGATCGATAACGAAAAAGAACAATAACTATCCAATGTTGATTCGCGTTTATTAAAATTATCAAGTTATATTGAAATTAAAGCAAAAATCAGGGAAAAAAGTGGAAAATAATTCAAATAGCACTAAGGTCATAAAAGGTGAGATATGTCATCGTTTGACAGACTGAACCTGACTTGACCTGATAACTATAGTGTAACTGACCACACTGAAAAGTATATAAAGTTTTTTATGTATAAGAATAACTGAATATTCACATAAAAATACGAGATAAATATACGAAAAAAAAAACATTTGAAATGCAACTAATATAACAAATCGGATAATTTGACCCAAGGATTATAGAGATTACAAAAGGTCAGTAAGAGAGGTCACTCGCGGTGAATATATGGTCATCAAGGGACTAGGGCAGGCGAGATGCATATTACATTTAACCAAATTTAGCGTATTATAACATTTTTATAAATAAATATCACGACAAAAACTAATTGAAATAGGTTACGAGAGCGAGGGAAATAGCGGGGGGTAGGGAGAGGGAGGGTTAGAGGGAGGGTAGGAGGCCGGGGGGGGGGAAGGAGAGAGCATTATGCGCATAATTCCACCAAGTTATATTAAATACCCCCAAAAACATCACCATAAAATGCATAATTATCAAACCGAGGCGGGGAAAAAATGCACTTCATTAATACATAAAGAAATTAATGTGATATGATGACGTTAATACAACGGGAGATAATGAGAATAAGATCAGTGTCAATTTATATGGCAATACTACAACCTCTCGCTGCTGGCTTAGTTTGATAAATTTAAAGAAAAATTGACGTATAGTTCACCCACATATTAAGGATATCAAGAGGGTTAGATACGAATCTTTCTTTTAATTCTATCCACTGATCGAGTTAGATAAAAAGAAAAAAAACACGCAGGAGAAAGAAAAACTCGGCAAGTGATAAAAAATGGGATTCGGTTGCCCTTAAAAAGACGACAGATCTACCCTGACGAAAAAAAACAAAACATGGTAGATTACTGAAAAGGAAATAAAATGCACTATTGCACGGACACTTGTTTAATTTTTCGAAAGATAAATACAGAGCAGAA